TATTTATTTTTTTTTTTAAAATATTACATTATTGATTTTACTCACTTTTTGTATTTCTTTGTAGAGCAAAAAATTCTGCTTTTTTTCGTAATATCTTTCTTTTATCGGTGATTTATTTTACAATTAAGTAAATGAATTTGTTAAAGCTGTAGTTCCTTTTGCTTTTTAATGAAATATATATGTTATTACCCAAGCACTGGTTTTTATATAAATAATGGTTTTCGTTTATAAATATTCTCTTTTTAAATTATATAAAATTTTAATTTAACTAACTATAACTTGGGAAGTTGTTAAATAGTGAAGTCATTATTTATGTGGATTAAAATCAATATAAAAGCATGACATTAACTCAAAGAGATATGCAAATGATCAGTTATTTTCAATAGTTATTGGGCGAACACAGTAAATAGATGTGTTTGTTAATTATTCAGGTAGGATACTAGTATATTTACCTGTTATCATTCATAAATTCAAGATACCGACAGGCTATCGCATAAATAAATAAATGCATATATATCTTTATTTATTTACTTGGATTTGTATTGGAAATTTCTGTTACCAATAAATAATAAGCACACTTGTTCTTCAAGTATATATAAGTTGAAATTATTGAAATATTAATATATATATATATATATATATATATATGAGAGATAAAATTAGAAAATTAAATATGTTATTTTTACTTTCTCATACACGAGATGGATACGACCAGAGGTGAAATATAACGACAAGTTGTTTGCGATAAAAATTTACGATTTACTATAAAGAAAACGAGAAACTGTGTGGATAGAGAGTATAGGGAAGGGCCAATATTGTTGAGAGACTAACAATGTAGACACCCTATGGTAAGATACTACATAAGCGAGGATCGTCGTACTCGTGATATTACGGGAACCAGGCGTACAACTGGCAGTGTACATACGCAAGTACATAACATGCCCGGCTGCAGCTCAAACTAGTTTAAGCTCGGAGGTCATGAGAAATATGGAATGCAATGATATGCATTTATTCTTATAGAGGTAATTATTATAAAACTGCGTGTAAAAGATTTGTTTCGGTTTTATGCTTCTTATAACATAGTGCATTTTATTAAGAATTTCTTCCATATGAACATGTATATAAACTTATCGAACTTTTAAATATTAATAATAATGCAAGTTAAGCAAATATTTCTAATCATGTACCTCGTATAGTTTGAAGGCTGTATAACTAATATTCTGATTAATCCACTTTTAAATGAAATCTCATTTTAATAGTTATCAAGGCCTTCAAATTTAACCTTCGTAATCGAGAAAATTCAACAAATATTTTGTTGATCTTTCATGAATTAGATGAAAATAAACGGCGAAATATTTTCCCTTATATTGTCAGTGGCAAATGCTCCTTCTTAGTTGTTCACATAATCGTGGATATTATATTGATACATGCGTGTATCTTTAATTTGTCTTACTATAAAATCATAGAAGATAATCAAAAGATCACGCGCACGGCGAATCAGTTCGCGAATTTCGAAACCAGCAGCGAGAAATCAAAAGATTTACTCCCTTACTCCCTCGCACTTCATTGAATTTCAAGCTCGAGCGGAGATTGCGGTCGCTTGGAACAATGTTTCTCTCTTTCCACCTTCTCTCTCCCTTTCTCTCTCTCTCTCTCTCTCTCTCTCTCGCTCTCATTATTTCTTACTACCTTTAGGTCGGGAGTTTATGCTATCTCACTTAGTTTTCTAAAGATGAGTAGAACGACAACGGCGAACTTCGTGTTCGTTGAACTTCAGAAAGGGCATAATCGCCGAAAAGCAGTAGTAGTGTTCCGGTAAGCAGTATGGCGGAAGAGGGGATAAGGGAAGAAGCTTTTGTGCCATTCCACTGTCTGTGGATCGGATCAGATTACTATGACACTCTCATACTAAAAGCAGATAAAGAAGGAGAAGATAAATAGATAGGGAGAAAGAGAATGTATGTGTTTGATGTGTTTGAGGTAGACAGAGGCAAACAGAAGAGTAAGAATAAGAAGACAGAGAGAGAGAGAGAGGGAGAGAGAGAGAGAGAGAGAAAGAGAGAGCGAGAAAAAGCAAAGCAACAGATTATCATGATTTCAAGAGACGTATAAGTTGCACTCATGTAAAATGAAATTAAATAATGAATCAATTCTATTTTTTCAATAGAAAGAGATATTTAATGTGTAATATGTTTAATAATGTTATATTTTTTATTTTAATTTGTATTTAATATTATAAATGATATTTACATATGAAACCTATAGGAAATTTCGTTATAAACTACAAGTTTATTATTAAATATACAAATTTTCAACAAACTCATGATAAAGAAATTAATGAAAATTATTTTAGCAAATTTTTACATTTCCATTTATAAATTGTTACAATAGTAAAGATTTTTGTATGTATTCAAATTTTGTTTAAGTAAGTCGGTTAAAAATATAAATTATTACTATGAATTATCATATTAAATTATCTAGAAATAATATTAAATTATGATTACCCTTTCAATGTAGATGATATAATTTATAATAAATGTATTATGTTATATAATATAAATATATAAATTTATATAAATTAATTACTTGAGAAAAATTATAGTTGTGAAAAATTATATACTTAAAAAGTATTATAATAAATTTCGAAGTAAAAGTTTTCATAAATTAAGAACTCATTTTTTAACACGGAAAAATATTTCTTCAGCTTTTGTAATATATATTTTGAAAATATTAAAAATGAACAAACTTAAACAAAAAGTTTATGGTTATGCGATATTTTGTTTGTTTAATTATTGTTTATATGGGATATAATTTTTAGAAAGTCATAAAATTTCGTTCCCTTAAAAATATGCATAAATCAGGACAAATAAAGTTTTTTCAAATAACGTTTTTAGAGTAAATGCATTAACCTTATTTGCAGAGATCATTATTAACTTTTCACATCGAAATAATAAATGTTTACATTTCAACATAGTTTATTATTTTTTTAAAGATTAATGGCCTATTGTGATATATTTTAGATATGAAATAAGTTTTAATGCATAAAATATACATCTTAAATATTTCATATACCATAAAGTAAGATCTATCCTTTCAAATAATAATGTATATAATTTTATATTATTTTCTATAACAGATTATGATATCATCTAATTATTTATATATATACATATATATATATATATATATATATATATATATATTATTCAAATACAATATTTTCACACAGCAATTTTTATGTATATTTTTTTTAATAATTGTATTTTAATAATATATGCATAAAAATATAATAAATTTGTATCTAAAACATTTAAATTGTTTAAATAAATCATATATTAATTATATACTCGCATTTTCTTGTTTTTATTATGTATATTATATATTGTGTACTATTTTAAATTGAAAATTTACAACAAATTACAAATAGCAAATATATATATATAAATTAACTAATCAAATAGTCTTTTATAAAATATTATAATTGCTAAAGCCAGTGAACCGATTTGTATAATCATTTTCATTGGTTTGAGTTACTTATGTAATTACAAAGTATAGCGCATAAGTATTATATAAAGTATATAATAAATATGTATAAATAATTGATGTATGATAAATAATTAATGGTTCACATATTGGGATTAATAATCAACGATATATTACCATAATTTTTAATAATATTTTTCACTTATTTTTTTCTTTTAAAAAATAGTATTTCGTTATTAATTAAGAATTGATAATCCATTGTTTCCAAATTATTTAAATATAATTCTATGTCAAACATATTTTTCTATCGGTCTATTTCACATTTTTATTCTAATTACTGATTAGAAATATTAAGGAAATTAAGTTTATAAAATATTATGTAATGTTTCATTGTATTAAAATTAATATTGCTAATTGCTCGTATCCCATTGAGGAAGCAGTCATTAACGACTCTTTAATGTTATTTAAATATTTCTAAATTGAAGTTATATAACTTTCATTATCATAGCCTACAAACTTTCAATATTCAAGGATGTCTTCTTTACTGTTTTTTATACAGATTTTTTGCACATTATTTGCTCGATTTTTTATTTTAAGTAGAAGATTCCTAATGTATCAAAAGAGAAAGGGACAAGACCTTATGAAGGATAGTCGGAGTCATCTCACTAGCATATACATCCTATGGAAACTTGATAGCCTTCCCAAGTCGTAGAGGAACACACGTGAAGTCTATAAGTTTTCCTACTCTCGCTATGTTCTGTAGTATGAGGACATCGCAAAGGACGAGTATTAGAGCGACTTGATGGCGCTACATTAACCTCTTTGATATATTTATGAAACGTACTTCGAAACTAATGGGCAAATTGAATTTCTTAGACTGTGTAAGCGAAGATAGATAGATAGATAGATGGATAGATAGATAGATAAACTTGCAGATAGTAGGAGACGGGAAAAGAGTAAGAAATGAATAAGTATATTGAACGACCACAAATAAAGGTTCTTTAAATCATATGAATATTCTGTAATACATCTTGCACGAAGAACGAGGACACAAATCCACTTGGAAGATAAATTTTTTCCTCTTCGATATTAATATAGCATTACTTGTTTATACCTAAATATACAAATTGCGCACACCAATGATATTTTATTATATTATTAATTATTTTCAAAATACTTGAATTCCTAATGCTAGTTACTCCAATACTACTATTATTAATTTAATTGGTATTAATATGTGAGAAATGTCAAAAAATCGTTTTGAATTAAATGTCGATAAGAATTTTAATTTTCATGTTGCAGTAAAAAATTGTAACTAATCGACTATTGTATAAGTAGGTAATAATTTCAATAAGATAATAATAATTAATTTATAATAAAATAATATTATAATATAACATAAATAAGAGCCAATCAGAATCCGATATTGGATATTTTACGTGTAAATTTGAATTTCTATACTTTTAAAAATAATAAATGGTTTAAATAAATAAGGAGAAACTTGTCGATTGACTTACCAGTTACTAGAAGATGAATTTTCTTCACTAATGGAGGAAAAGTCGCTACTTGGCACTCGTATAATCCAGAATCGCGAGGAGTTGCATACTGGATTCGAAGTCTCCAATTTGTTGGATATCTAGAAAATATAATTATTATTATACTGCGTGTTTGTCCATTTTTGGCTTATATTAATATAAATAGAATTTCTATCTGATCCTATTCGTATGATAAAGTGATAGAATATTTAAATAAACTGTATAATTAATATTTTTAAATTACTGTTTAGTATATTTATATTGTTAAAATATTATTCAAGTGACAAGGACAGTCTTGAAATATTTTGGATAACAATTGCCAATATAAATATAATGCAATTAACATATTGTAATTTATATTTTATTGTGTATATTAATATTAAATTACCATATTATATGAAATTATTCCTCGTTTACAATTTCAGAAGTATCAAATCAAAAATATCTATTGTAATATATGTTATACATATTCGATAGTAAAATGCTATAAAGGCATATATAAATTTTTAAAGTTGCATAACTCATTTATTTATCTTGAAAATAATCATTTATAATATAGGGTAGGGGTTGAAGGGCTTCATAAACAAAACCTAATGTCATGACATTAAATAATATGGAAGTTCACTCACCTGAAGAAAAGGCTGATTCGTTGATCGATGCTGTAAGCACTGCGACCGACGGTGAGAAGACGAATAACATCGGCGCTGTGATAGGACCACGTGACCTGCGAACAGAAAATGGATTGAACAACATGTTCAGACATCCACTCGAACATCACCAAAAATGCCAGTATACGATACTTTTTCATGAATACATTTTACGAATGTCGTTGCAACTCCTTCGGTATGTTTCCCTATTTCAAGTATTCTCGTGGCACATTTTCCAGAATCGAAGTTATATTTTGAATTATTGAGAATATTATGAATGAGTACAATCTTGAAAATTTTACATATATCCTTTACATATGCATACACCGTTTCTTCTGTATAATAAGATTGGTGAGCAAAAATAATAATTCATATTTTTCAAGAAAAAATAACCCGAGTTAATGTAATTAAAACTTGTACATTATATAATTATTTAATTTTTGTAGAATATATTTTGTTTCAATTTTTTTTTTAAATTACAATTACTTAATCATTCAGTTATATTATTTCTTATTCATAATAGTTTTTTTGTATTTACTGATAATTTCAGTTTATATTATGAGTAAAGAATTTTTTTCCTATAATTATATACATTAATATTTACATATTAATAAATCGTATATCATTTCATTTATATATTTTTTATTATTTCATTATTTTTAAGTAAACAATCATACGATTACAGTAAATGCAATTATATTCAAAGACATATTGATCATGGGAAAAAGACAAATGAATAGAATAAGTAACCTGTATGATGGAATATAACGTACAAGCTAATAGTATCTATTGTACAATTTTTGGAAGCAATACTCTACCAACATTTATTTACTCAAAGTTTAACTAATGAATTTTAATAATTGTTTCACCTGCCCATGCTCACAGCTTTCTCTAATAATTTTCTTTCTCTCTTTCTTTCTTTGCTTCCATTTTCTAGTTCAAAAGTATAAGAAAGTTTTGATTATGGAAAAAAGTTGAAAATCGTATAAAGAAACGATAAAGAATACGGTGAATATGTACTAAAGTAAGATAAAAACAGGTTATACAAAATAAAAAAAAAAACTATAACAAAAATATATTAAAATAAATAAAAAAATTCACATAATAATAACTTGCTTTTATTGTTTAAGGAATATATATTTTTGTATTTTTCCATATTTACTGTTTTAACACTTAAATTTAAACGAAAGTTTTAGTTTTATTTGTAGACCATTTAATATTATTTAAAATTTAATCAATAAATGTTATTAAATGGTCTACAAATAACAATAATATATATATATATATATATATATGATACTGAAACATTGGATATTTGACGTTATCAAATGAAATTAAAATAACTAACATATATAAGTAATATTAATAATAAATAAATTTCACTTTTAAAAAAATTAGTAAGTAATTTACTTACTTAGCTCATTATAATTATTCACAGTTATGACTATGAAATAGTAATTGTATATAACCTATCCATTTTTAAATAATTAAAGGGAACGTTAGACTTACAGAAAATACTGTAATATACAGACACATTAAATTTATATTTGTAGATTTATACGCATATGCCCGCGCGCGCGCGCGCGCGCGTGTGTGTATGTATGAGATGAAGTGTGCGTGTGCGTGTGTGTGTGTGTGTGTGCAGGCGCGTGTGCGTAAGTATATGTTTTAATATTTCAATGAAGTAGTAAAATAGTGGTTCAGAGAAGCAATAAATATCATGCAATAACTATTTTTATTACGTAATAAATCAAGATCGAATTAAATAAGATTCTTAATATATAAAAAAATAACATTACTGATAACAGTTATGAAATTCAACTTAAATATTTTGTAATAAGTTAAGTTAAGTTAATAATAAGTTTATTAAGAATGTTATAAATAAAAATATATAATGTACAGAATTAAATATTCAAATATATTCAAATTAACCATTTATACAAATCATTAAATATTTTCAAATATATAGAAATTTGAAATATTTTTTATATAAAGCTTCCTGACTTTATAAAATCTAATTAAAAATTGCTTCATTAAATGGAATTAAAAACTATAAGATTCTAAAAGGTATAACTTTAAAAGTTATAAATATTCTATAGAATATTGTTCCAATAATAATACATAATAATCGCCCACTCAGGTTAAAATGAATATTATATATAAATAAAATTGTTCGAGTGCTATATATATATATATATATATATATATGAAAAAATGAATGTTCTAGATCATTTATGCTTGTAGTATAATGTACTTTGTGTTTTGTTGATGATAAATATTTTAATATAATTGATAATTTTGTATGGAATAGGCAATATAAAAGAATGATTATTTGTACCGATATGATTATAAGCCGTCAATGAAAAAATTTAACACATACACTTTATTCATAAAAATATTGACACATGTCTATTACTCGTATTTTAGTAAAGATTTTTCGTAAATATGTAAGTATGATTTTCGTTCTTGAAAAAATCAAACAGTAGATCGCCGACAGTAGATTGACGTTTATATTTGGTTGTGTCAAAACGGCATTTCATTTTTTCTTTTTTCTTCCTATGTGACACAGAATATGATTGTCATTGTTACTTATACATGAATTGTTTTGCTTATATTATTCGCCCCGAGAGCTTTGCAAGGCTAGAAAATTCTTCTTTTAATTGTGCCTATTATATATTTAATTGTGCCCACTCTTATTACGATTTTTAGGGAAGAAATAGGCGAATGCCTTCGCTACAAACTCACGTCATGACAAATTTCATAGAAATTGTTTATTTAATGTTATCTACATGTAAATAATTTAATTTTATAAAGTTACCTTGAATCTTCTATTTAATTTATGAAAACATTACGTTAATTGTAATAGACAAAATTAATAAATAAATTTAAACAACCATTTTCCAATTAAAATTTACATTTAACTATATTATTGTTTAACATATTACAATTTAACAAATTAATATATATTCTATAATTTGATATTTTAATGTTATATAAATAATTTTTTAATACATTTCAATAAATTTGAACGTTATATAAAAAATTTGCTCATAATTTATCGATTCATATTGTAAATTCTTACTATGATACTTAATATTTCCATCAAACGCAATAATTTTATTATCTAAAATATTATTATTAATTTAAATTAATAATAAGAGAACGCGTTATTCATATAGATTTTGTAATTGTGAATTTATTTTTAAAGAAAAAAATGAAGAATATCAGTTTTAAATTTTACATATTCTGACGTATTTATGCCGATAGTTAGTCAGTTAAAAATAAATATTTATATCGTGTTCACTAACCTCAATTTATAAGAAAATATTGAAAGCCAATATTTTACAGTCTAGAAAGATAAAAGGTTTTTCATAGTATTTTGTAAATGTCAATAAGTTCTTTCATTACCTATGAATATGAATGTCACTAAATATTATAATTTCATTCTTTAATCATTATTATAATAAATTTCCTTTAAAAATTATCGTATTTTTCCCTGTTAAATATAGAAAATTTATGAGATTCAATATATTATTAATGTAACTTTTAATAAAGTTACCTATAAAAGTTTTACACTTAGTATTATTATTGTTTCGAAAGTACAATTCAATACGTTGTAATATCTTTACACTAAAAATAAAAATAGATCAACTCCAAACTTTCTTTTATTCGGATATTTACGATCGTACTACGCATATATCAAAGATGTGATATAATTTTTCAATTTTAAACAATACACTAAGCCTAACGGTAAACTAAATCTATCCGTAACTGTTATTGCAACACGCGAAATATCACGGTTTAACAATGACAATTTAGTTTATGAATTTATCAATGGTACATGATATTTGAACTTTTAAACGAATTTGTTTTACTTACTTCACTTCATTATTAACTATGTTGATAATTACTTTTCTAAAAATTTATCGATTTTTCTAAGTTTTCTTTTGAAGCCATTAAAGTCCTCTTATGAGAGATATTGATAAAATTTCTTAATAGTGTATATTATTCCTCATATAAATTATTTTATTCTACTTAATCATCGGTTACAATATCTTTACTCTTTAGAAAAATAAATCTCATCACGTTAAAATCGAACGCTTACTTTGCTTTATGCGATACTAGTTTTTAATTATTATCCCAATTATTATTTTATTTTTGTTATTGGATAATGAGTTCATTCTTCGACAAGAGGGTAGTGAAGAATCATGTATTATATAAATCATTTAGATTCAGGTCAGTGGGCTCAGAGATCAATCAAATACATTCACATGAATTAAATGTTTTTTAACAATTTGAGTTGATTATAATATGTCATGTTGGACAAACTACTTTAAACAAAAACAAAAATGATAATGATACGTTATAATAAAGTAATAAAGATAATATTATTAAAAATAATATTTCTTTAAAAGTCCAATAAGTTTATTTGTATAATATTTATGGCTATTTATTAATATATATTATTGACAATCGTCATAAGAATTTTTCAATATATTTCATAATTCTAACCACTTACATGCTAATCTATTTAATGTTAACCATAGAATATCTTTTAAATTAGCATAAATTATTAATTATTAATAATTTTATAATAATTACGATAATTATTAAATGAGATTTAAGGGACAATAATGTTATGTCATGTTATTTGTATATTCTCTCCAATTTGATTTATTTGAGAAGTAATAAAAAGTTATTTGCTTAGCGAAAATCTAAATGTATAAACATAACAGCAATCCAATTTTAATGCGTTGGAACAATCTGTATGCAAGATGATCAAAATAAGTGAAAATTATAATTACAATACATCGTTTTATCTATATTGAAATAATTCTTAAAGTTTGAGTTAAAAATACTGTATTAGAAGAATAAAAGAACATGCATTGGAGAATTTTTCAACTTTTTTTTTAATTATTTTTTATAGAAATATTGAAAAGGAAAGGAATAGTCGATGAATGTAAAAATGTAAGTAAAAAATTAATTAATTTATAATACTCCCAATCGAGAATAATATATCTTGTATAGTATTATCAATGTCTCTAAGGCATTACAGACATACTTTATGATACGTACATAAAGCTACACTTAACCAAGTCCAATAGCTGCAGGAGGATGATGATAGGTCTTAGGGGAAATGTACATATCGCATCTTTTGCAAACTAAAGTTGCAATAGTTATGTATATATTTCAACTTATCTTACTTCGTAGATATTTGAATTCAGAAAATGATATAATTAAATTTTTCAATTTGAATGAACCGACTTGCATTTATGATTTCAAATTGATCCTTTAAGCAAATGATAGTCATTATCTTTAGAAAATTTTATTTTCCCTGCTGCTGTAATTTTTTGCAACTTTATTAGTTTCAATTTGACAACATCAATGGGTACTCAGTATTCAATAATTAAATAATATAGAAGAATAATACAAAATAGAGAAATTAGTAAAAAAAATCAATCTGCCAATTTTTTTTGCGTAGTAAAGTAACGAGAAAAAATTATTTAAATTACAGAAGATACTGTTCAGATAAAGTAACTTGTAAATGTTTCTAGCATTTATTGCTCGGACTTTTAACAAATTTATTGTAAATGAAAATGCTGAATTCAATTTTTTACTTTTTTCATTCTGTCAACAATATCAGAATTTATTTTATTTAAAATTGCAGGATTCAATCATCTACGGATTATATTGATTGCAAATCTATAATATTTACGAAATTCCAGCAATTACGAGCATACCGTTTCAATTTTGAAATGAAAGTCTTAAATAAATCCATTTTGAAATTAATTAGGGCACGCATTAATTATACTTAAGCTTCAGAATTTTTAGTCGTATGAATTTGTCATAACATGACAAATACTTAATTGATTTATCATCGTTTCGTCATTTTATTCTTAATAAATTTCATCAGTACGAATATTTTGCATTTTAATAAATTAAATTATTTATCATTTTAATTATAAAATTTTATGAAAAATTATATAAATTAGTATAAAAGTATAAAGTATTAAAAGTAAAAGTATTTTTTATTAATATCCGAATAAACGAATTATACTTGATTATCGTTTCCCCTTTGATTACATGAATGCAATAATAGTTAAAATTCTATAATAATTCATAGTCTGTTAAGTGCATTCATTATTGTTTATGATCTCAAATTTTATTGAAATCTACATTTCTATATAAAAATTAAATTAATTAATTTATTATAATAACAATCGTTGAATATTGTAATAATTATAATAACAATTACCAATATAAAGTAAATATAAAATAAAATATGAATCTGAAATATAAAGTAGAGAAATAAAAGTGTCCTAAACACATATATATTTATATATATCTTTATTTCAGTAAAATATATAAAGTTAAAAATATAAACTATTCAGAAAATAAAACAGAAACAGCATGGCTAATGTATTTTCAGATATCCATGCAGAACAATGAAAAATCGTAATTCCTTACAAATTAAACAATAGTACTCTTTTATTTTCATTCTTGAATTCAGTTTATACGTTTTCCTAAAGGTAAATAAATATAGCAACGATGAAAGCTTTACTAGTTTTACAGAAAAAGCTTGCTTCCGTGTCCTCGTTATTTAATTGCTTGAAGAATTGTCACGATATTTGTTATCTTACACTTTTTACTTTTAAGATTTATTTTCACGTTTTAACTTTATGAGCTTTTTGATATAATACATTTTAATAGTTATCTAAAGATTAAAACGCGATTTATTTAATTTTCATCAAATAAAGTATTAAGATGCTAAATTTAAGATGTATGTAAGATACTGTAGAAACGAGCACTTATATTCAAATTATATATAAACTATATAAACTATATAATAGAAACAAATTTTTAACTAATGGCCGTTTATATTTCACAGTTATGTCTTTTTCAATATCTTACTTGTCATTCCATTTTAATAAGCAAAAAGAGGTAACATCGTATTATCTATATTAGAAATACTTTTGCAAGCAGAAATTTTTAATGTATTATAAATCCACATTTATTATATACACTTAGAAATCATTATTAAGACGCGAAACTACAAACTTGTGTAAATCATTTTTTTTTTTTTTTTAATCTCAACTTATAGTTTTTGACGATCGAATGATGTTGTAAACACTTTTTATAGTTAATTTGTTAAAAATTTATCATTTACTATGGTTTCCTAAAATAATTATTATGACTTGCATACACATTCTACCCCAAAAACGTTGTAATTTCGTTTCTCGGATAATACTTCGATACACTTATGAGCGATAACGTATTTAAGTAGCATCGCCTAATTTATAGGGTAAATTTAATCACGTGACTAACTCAACATCAACCGCATATTCGTATGTAGGCAAATGGATGTCTGTGTCAATTTAGCATGTAATTGTCCTCTATCGCTTCTTGTCATTTTATCCGATAAATAAATCTTCGCATTGTCAATTACTACTCACCGTCTTATTACCCAACATGCCGATTTCGCAGTCAAGAACGACAGTGCTACCGATCCTCGTCGTCACGTTAACTTCCTTCTGACCATCCTCGAAGTATGGCGTATATTTACCGAGAGCTGAGGCAATATTTGGCTTGACAATCTTACTAATACCAATATAGCCTTGATTCTGTGGGAAGAGGATTGTTATTTCAAAATGTTTTTTAGATAAATGTTGATGGCGTATGTTTTGCTATGTCTAGTATATTAAGTATTTAAATTATTGCTAATAATTTGGTTGTTCACTGAGACAGTTTGACGAGTAAAATTTATTAATCTAATATATCACGGCGTTTAACAAAATATAATTTACATTAAACAATACACGTTACATTTCAATTACAATGTACTTTTCATGTGTATTTTAACTTTAACACCTGACTAATTTGTCAATTATAATAACTAATAAAAATACTTGAAAATAATTTATAGTCTAAATCAATGATAAGATTAGTGAAATAAAATAAGCAAATATTAATCGATTATATGAATAAATAATTCTTACCAAGCCATTAATTTTCTGCCCCGACTTGATTTCGTGAAAAGTGCCACCGACGAGGTCGTTTCTTGTTTTAAATGCAACTTTGCCAAGTACCGAAGTCGTAAGTTGAGTCGTTCCGATCGTTGTTGACGCTGATAATGTTTTTGCACTCGATCCGGTGATTGAAGCTTCCAAGACTGTTGTCGACGTCTCGGGAGCCGAAAGCCTACGACTCGACGATTCATTTCTAGAAAGTCTACTCGTTATGATTCCCTCCGGGGAACGATTCGTTGTATTATCGATGAAACCTATTAAACGTTCTTGATGTGGTGCTGTAGCTTCTATTTCAGAAGAGAAAGAAACTTTTAGCTCTTTCTTAACTGCTGCTGCTGCTGCTGTTGAGAAATAATTGAAATTTTACGTCTAATTTTGGCCGTTTAAAGGAATATAGAGATAAATGTTACGCGAAATCATTTTTCTAATTAAATGGACCATTCGGCTCATTTCCGTAGAAGAATTTTAATAACGCAAACTTTACGAGTAGATAGATTGCAGTTACCACGATATAGATTTTAATATTAATACGAAATGAATTATCTGTAGCATTAAATTTTATTTATTTTAATAACTATGCATTCTAAATGTCAATACTGCTCATTATTTCATCACGGTACAATGCAAAATCTTTCAACGATTGTTAAAAACTATACAAGTATATATGAAAGTAACATAATTTATGCATATTTATGCAATTTCCTTAGTAAACACAATAAATTAGTGGCAACAGTGATATTGTAATGATATTTTAATGAAATCCACTCAACTTATAACGAATTTATCGAGATTGTAATTATAAACATTTCGATATCGAGTTATAAACTTACGCTCACTTATCGAAGCCGCAGTAGTAATCTTTGGATTTCCAGCCAAGTAATTGCCTTTCATAGTTTCGCTTGTTCTCTCATTGGTAACTGGTGCATCAATGTTCGTGGCCGCTGCTTCAGTTTGCTTCATCTCAATGTTCTCTTCAATTTTCGTTCGATGATGCGTGCTCGAATTACTTGCAACGGATTTCATTGTTGTAATATTGATCTCAAGATGGTGGGTGACATCATCCTCCGTCCCTAAAATACCAATAAAGTCCGTCAATTGATAGACGAATTATTAACGAATGCACAATGAAAGTTCGATATTTAATGTCATTTAATTGATTTATAATAAGCTCATTTATTAGAATTATAAAATAATTACATAATTCAAACGGAGTATAATAATATTGTGTAATGAAATACAAATTACATGTGGCCATATTAAAAAAAATCAAGTACTATATATATATAAGATATCGGGTAAGTCTTTATGGATATGTGATACTTGCCTGTTGAAACTTTTAGGTAAATGTGGAAATTACAGGCTAGGATAGTAATACTTTTCATTAAATTTTCAAAGAGAAATTTGAGTATTTTAAAAGCAATTTTGATAAATAAAATAGAATAGAACAACCATCCCGAAATTTCAATTTAGATAAAATATTTAATGCTAATTTAAAAATTTAATACCATTAATTCATTACATTTATTGCTTATTTTAATTTCAATTTATTTATAATAATTAAGTTAAAATTCTTATCGATCTTTATTTCTGTACATTAGCTGCAAATGATATTTTAAAATCTTGTCCATATAATGACACTATTTTATAATGACTTTTATATTAAGTTCTTAGTATATTTTAAATATTGTTCTATTTAAATAATAATATAACACCACAAATTCAATCTACAATTAGTAATCAAAATTTCTTTTAACATTTTTGTCAAAAAAAGTTTTACTTCTTTTGTCCGGTCACATAAAAATAATGTTATAAAAATCAACTGCAAAAAGTATTAAAATAAACCTTCACGAATATATGTCAATTTTTAATTATATTACTGCATTTATCCTTTATTTTTTACTAAAATTAAAAATAATTAGTTGTATATAATTACATTCCTACGATAATATATATTAATTTAAAATTTATATTATAACACAAATTCCTTGTATAAATACATATAATTTTCAGTATCAATATAGGTTTTGTATCAATCAATTTTCATATGTATAAGCTCAGAATTTCTCCACACAATTTCTGGTGTGCAATGAAATACAAGAAATTGATAATACACAGTAGATGATAAATATTGGAAAAGTTAATAAATTTTAGCTTAAAATTAAAAGACTTATGAAAATGAATAAAAAAAATTAATCGTGTAATATTACAAAAATATATATAATACCAAAAATAATTGAAGAAAAATTGGGTAAAGTAGTAAGTAAAGAATCGGGTATTTCGTCGTTAGAAGTGTACATATTACAGGATTGAATCTGTACAAAAGAATAACGATATTTTAATACGATAAATTATAAATCATTAAACATTAGCTTAATTGAGAATAATTTTTAAATCTAAAATTAACATTTATATTAAATGAAATATAGAATTTAATTCTGTATTATTTATTATTTAAGACAAGCTCATATTTTCTCGTCTATTGTATGGAAATAATGTAATATCCTTTTATATATTATTTAAATTAATAATTAATAAATATATAGTTTCAGTGAATGATATTTAGTAGTGACTGGAAAATGAATGAGGTATAAAATTAATTTTATACTAATCAATAAAAAGTTCGAAATAAAATAGGAAGAAGAACAATTCATTGTGAAATAATTAGGAATATATATATAATTAAAGAACAAATAAAATATTTCAGAATAGTAACATATTGGATATGTAAAGTTAAAGAACGCGAATGAAATAAAATAAAGAATTATGATAGATTAAAAAGACTGAAGGTTAAGTGCATTAATAAATCTAGAGTAAGGCAAATTAAAAAAATAAAATAAAATATATGATTGAAAATTGAACTTTGGTAATAAAATAGTAACAAAAAAAATGTATAGAAAAAGTATATTTCTGGAAAAATGTAGAAAAGGTATGTTTTATAGAGAAAAATCTATGAAAGAATTGAAGCTTAAATTGTCATGACAAAAGTAGAAAACCGTCATGTAAAGAGATAATTAATTAGATTTAAAAAGCAATATAAAAATGTACTTATACTGATATTGATTTATTTAAAGCCGAAGGCTCGTATTAAAAACTGATATATATGTAAGAAATAAAAGTGAAATATACGAAACTGATATAGTGATAAATATAGTGAAACTATTTAAAGATAAATAGTTAAAAAAATGAATAAATTAAAAATTGAATTGGCAAAAATAAATCAAAAAGAATAGTAAAAAGTTTATTTATAAAGTATATTAATTGTAAATTCAATTGAATGTAGAGAAAAAGTAAGTGTAGGAGAAAGATTTAAAGAGATGTAATTATAATTAAAAAGAAGTAGAAAAATCTGTATTGTGTTAGACATTGTGGTGTTGTAATATAGTAAAAAGGGAAATGCAATATAATAATAAGTGGAGGATTCTGACGTCTATAGACACGATATAAGAGAAACAATACAAATATTTAAGGGGAATATAAAAGAGAATGAAATGGATGAGGCATAATAATAATGAAATTGCAGAGATAGTAAAATATAAGATAGGATATTCGATGGCGAGGAAGTAACTACTACAAAATCATAAGATATGGCGGTAAGCATTAAAATAAAGATATTGATAATAAATCAGGAACTACAGAAATTACTAAATTCAAATATGTAAAGAATATAAATAAAGACTGTGAAGTTAAACTAAGTTAGAATAAAGTAAATTACAATTATTGACGCAAAAAAGAAAAAAAAATGTAAAGGATCATACTGTAGAAGGCGCATTGTAAAGTTAGAATTAAAATAGAAAAATAGAATGATCTGGTACTAATAAGGATGAATTTTGAAAGAGGATTCAATTTTTTTTCTGTACCTTTTTACATAACAAAATATAGAATAAAAACAAAATTCTGAATAATAATTTATGTATGCAAATGCGTCCGAATCATTTTTTATTTTTTTTTATTTATCCGATGCTTTGTAAAGATAAATATAATATATGTAAATATTGATTACGAAGATGATGAAAGTCAGTCAGTCAAAAAAAAAATTATTGACGAACTCTATTTGCCAGTAAACCAATTTTTATAGTGATTAGAACAAGAACACATTTTGCAGGATCGAATTCTAAATGGTTAAAGTTAATTTCCAACGGTAAAAATATTTTAAAGAATATAGAGATTTAAGTGAAAAGCTTATTGGAATCAAGTATGCAATTTTTTGTTTTTTCCTTTTTTAAAATATTTTATTTCATAAAGTGAAATTCTTATTGACTAATTTATATATCGATAATCTCTGAATAATAAAATACCACGTCAATTATACTTGGCCAAAAATGATAAAATAACAAGATATTATAAATACAATATTGCTATATTAAATTCTTTTAAAGCTCATTTTTGTAGATTATTAATTATTAATTTTTATTATTAATCATAAATTTTTGGGTATTTTTATCAATACTTAATAAATTTATAGTCATATATATAAATATAAACTGAATAATTATATTATTATTATTCGACTCTGATTTAAAATTTACAACAAAGTTCAATTCATTTTTATATTTGATTTTTTAATGAGGAAATCAGACTTTTGCATGCCATACGTCTAAATATAATTTATATTGTAATTGTATGGCGTTGAAATGTAGATGAGTAGATATTATCCCAAGTTTTTCTCTACTTTGATTTTAGACTTAAGGAGACAAAGAAATTCATCAAATCATTGACTGTAGAAGGTGAAAGTTGTGGAATTTGAAAGGTGAATAGTATCTAATTTTAAATGCATAATAATTCTATGTATGTGTAACTTGTAGTTTTTTTATTTTTTTTTTCATTTTATAATCAGAATATTGATGCAGAGCTTTATCTACTCGCATTCCATTTTCATTATATTTTGCAACAAAACTTATTTATACATTCGGATTTATATTCATGATTTGACTATTTTAATAAAATTTCTTATAAAATTAGATAGAAATAGTAAGTATTTTTACAAATGAATATTTCAAAGAATAAGAAGCAATATATAGGTGTAGTTACATTTTCATATACCTTCTGTTCACACTGTATTTAAAAAATTATAAAACGATTGCAATTGAACGAAGGATAAATTTTCTTTCATTAATTCTATTAATTTTAACAAGAAAAATATGCACTTATAAGAAACAAAAATAATGAAAAGAAAGTTATCAACAATATAAAAATTTCAATTATCATCAAAATTAATTATTATTTATTTCAATAAAATACAACTATCTATATACTTCACAAATTACGGATGAATAATTTGTTAATAATTCATTAATTTATACATTATATATATATATATATATATATATATATATATATGTGTGTATATTTAAAATGATATTATGATCGAAGTGCATACTATCTTAGACCACATGAAGCATACTTAAAATTACAACATATATTTAATTCTTCCTCTCTACTCCACTTTCTTGCTTGCTCTCCCTCTCTCTCTCTCTCTCTCTCTCTCTCTCTCTCTCTCTCCCTCTCTTTCACGCGCGCTCCCTCATTTGCTCAGTCTCTTAGCTTAAGTTTTCTACAAAAGTCATAACTCAAAGCCCCTAAAGAAATACGGTAGCGCTCGTGCGCATTCGAGTTTTACCGACGGAAAGTCCCAATAAGTTAATCCTCGAGTCTTTTCCCGGACTGCAGTAAAAGACTCCAGTGCACCTTACAAGCGCCGAATCCCACCACTGCAGCAATACTCTCTATCGCGCTACCAAGGCAAAGAGAAGCCTGCCACAGCAGTAAAAGGTACAGAGGTCGTTCCCTCGGGAAACGCAACGACAAACTTTTGGGAATCCATCTATTCCCTCCCACCTCTTCTTCCTGCGCACGAGCACGTAGTCCGCGACGAGCGCTAAACCTAAAACCTGTACTGTGTAGCAAAATCTCCGAAACTGATTTCAAAGTAATAGTTTGGGCTTGGGAGCAGATAGTTTCATAGTAGCGAAGGATGGGGAGAAGAAAGGAGAATGGAAGAATTCGAGAAGGAGATTTCTACTGATAGAATGTTTTCACAGCTCTCTCACTCTCTCTCTCTCTCTCTCT